GGATGATTTCTTCCAAATCTGAAGACTTTCAACTTACTGCAAAATATAGCCCACAAACAATCTCTCTGAAGAGCCCACAGGAAGAATGAAATTATCCATAACTGTGAGAGCAGGAGGCACAACAATGGAGTATGATTGGGGGAAGTGGTGATTGGAAGGGGTCAGTGGGCAGGAGTGGCAGACACGGGAGCCGGTAATGTGCACTCCCACCCCCAGTAGCTAGCTTACTGCTGCCATTGATACTTTCTGAGTCTTGTATTACAGTGTGACGTGTAAGAAGTTACGAGGTTTTCATGTCCATATTGCTTGAACTAATGACAGAAATAAGGTATTTCTGTGGTTTACCTGGCTCTGTTCAAGCTGCATGTGTAGACATACACATAACATACAGAAAGTTCTAGAAGGAACCATGAGACATCATGTTTTTCTTTAGGTCTGGATTCATTGCATAACATTGCAAGCTTTCCTTGTGGTTTCTCTGTAGAGGATAACAAATAAGCTAAAGGATGATATTTATGAAATATTTTCATTAGATTTTATATCACTGCAAAAGTGTTACAGAGGATTTATAGACCATGTTCTGGTATTTTTGGAATGGCAGCTTTGGAAAACAGGGAGTTCCTGTGTGCATGAAGCTTTGGCAATTTCTATATAGTTTCCAAACTAGTAGCCTGGTTTTCCAAGCTTGCTTTTATGTATATTTTTCATGAACAGAGTATTTTTTATGCTTTATAAACTATATGTGAAAAAGCTAACATTTCTTGTGGAAATAAGAGGCATAAAATGTTTTTCATTAAGATAGTCTTGACTTATATATACTTAAAAAAAATCTGCCCCATTTCATTGCTATAATTTCAAGCATAATTCATTCATCTTTTGTTTATGAAGCACTTGTTTACCTGCTTGGGGTAGCAAATGTAGATGGAGTTGTGTGGTTCTATTTGCTCTGGTTATACCATCTATTCCTGTCTGGATAAGGAAATAGACCCAGAGAAGAGGTTAGATCAAGGTGGAATACTAGGTTTATGTATCAACCTTCAAGAAATATTTTGAAATAACAGGAAAGATATGTGTGCATTTTCCACAGCAGCCTGGAAAATAAGAAAGGATGATCTTAGTCAGCTATAAATAATTTTAAAAAATTTTTTGATACAAAAGGCAAATGTGAATCAATTGAAGGTGCAAACTGGAGCCCAAACATGGGCAGAACTGGGGAAGGAGGTAGTGATGGATTAAGGATTGCTCCAAGCCTGGTGGTTGTGAATATATTGGGATTTGGGAGGAGACCTGAGCAACCATCAGGACAGTGATTGTAGAGACTGAAAGATACCCCACATCTTTCCAGGAAATTCCTTTCATGGTTGCATAATCAGAGTCAACTATTATTTATTGTTTGAACCAAGTACTCAGCCTGTTGCACTTAGATTCTGAGGATAAACTGTTTGTATTTATGATATTCTTCATCTACTGTTGGACTCAATTTCCTGTATCCTTAGGATTCTCTCTGGACACTGACATGGCTCTCGGGCCTAAACATAGATATTCACTGCTCCCACGGGGGAAGGCAGGGGAGGCTGGTGGAGTGCCTGGCTGCTCCTGTTTAGCACCTCAAGAATCCTGGGAAACCTGGCTCAGGAATCAGTCACATTCCTCCTTGTCCCAGTTGATTCCACCGTGGATGCCTCCATTGCTGGCTACTCTATGATTGGAGCCATCTCCATGAATGGGTTTTCATTTCTTTGTCTGTCTTTGCATCACTTGCTAAGAAGTTAGAGCCCTTGGTTGAAACCATGCCATGTGCTGTAACCCAGCTGCAGGTGTTAGAGTCTGGCTCCTGCCTCCACCAAGGCTCACACGGTAGGGTTCTCTCCAAACAGGGAGGGAGTTTGATATTATAAACCCAGAACAATAGGAAATTCACTATTAAGAATATTTTACATTAGAAACTCTTTTACTGTAATGCATAGATGAAAGGAGAAAAATCATGTAATCTCAAATTCCCATAAAGAAGTTGATAAAATTATCACCCATTATTAAATAAAAATGTAAATAAAGTAAACAAAAGGAAAAAGAAAAAAACAATAATAAAAGGAAACTTCTCTTTGATAAAGTATATACACAAGGGCTGTAAAGCAGCCAGTATACTTAGTGATAAAATTTTAGAAATGATTGTATTAAAGTCAGGGTGAATGTTCTCACAACTACCAGGAATTCTTCTAGTGGGGTCTCAGCCAATGCAGTAAGGAAAAGAAGGAAATATGGAGGAGGCATTTGAAAAGGAAGAATTAGAACACTTCCTGTTTGTAGAAAATGTAGTGATCTGAAATGACTCCATAGACAAAATCTTTTCACTAATATGATTGTAGCAAGATGGCTGGGAAATAGACCAATGTAGGAAAATCAGTTGATTTCTAATACATTAGCTGTAGCCAATCAGAAAATACAGTGTAATAATAATAAAACTGCAAAATAGCTAAGAATAAGACTGGATTAGCTTTTCTATTAGTGCATGACAAATTACTACAGACAAGTGGCTTAAATATACCCTATTTTATTATCTTGCCATTCTGTAGGTCAGAAATCCAGGATGGCCTGGCTGGGCTCTCTGCTCAGGCTCACACAGCTGAAATCGAGGTGTTGGTCAGTTGGGCTCTTATCTGAAGGCTCTGGGGGCAGAATCTTCTTCCAAACTCTTTCAGGTTGTTAGCAAAATCCAGGTCTTGTGGGTGTAGGACTGAGGTTCCCAATTCCTTACTGACTGTCAGCTAGGGCCCACTCTCAGCATCTTGAGGCTGCTAGCATTGCTTTCTCAGATGGCCCCCCCACCATCTTTCAAGTGGCAACGACCTGTGGAGTTGTTTTCATGCTTTGAATATCTTTTACTTTCCTTCTGCCTTTCTCTTTTTCTGGACAAGTACCTTGCTTGGAAGGGCCCAATTAATTAGGTCAGATTCACTCCAATCTCCCTATTAAGATCAACTATGGCATATAATACAGTCACAGGAATGATAGTTTCTCTTATTCATTGGTCCAGGGATTAGAGCAGAACTTTTGGTGGGTGGGGAGCATTGTGTAAACTCTGCCTGCCACAAAGCCCAAGCAGAATTTTATATGACCTATATGGAAGAAAAGTACATTTTTTTAATAAAGTTGTTTATTAAGTTGGCAAGCTGGTTTTCAGTAGGGAAAATTGCTTAAGAATTTGCAAAGACAATTTTGAGAAAGGATAATGGATATCAAAAAATTATGTTTAACTGAGTACTCATTGAAATCTTAACGGATTGGTCCAGGAATAATTCATGGGATAGAAGAAGGGTTAATTTAGTAGATGATAAAGTTACTTTTTAAAATCTTACTTTAAGAGGGAAATGATGGCCTTTTGGGTAAGTGGTGGTACAGTTCTCTATCTACTTGCAAAGTTAGGCTCTTATCCCAAGCACAGAAATAATTTCTAGTGGAGTGAAGAGACAAATATGCTAAGTAAAATTGTACAAGTATTAGAAGTATTAGGAGAATTTGCTCATAAACTTTGGGTTAGAGAATACCTAACTAGGAAATACAATTGATTAGTTAGCATGTGATAGAACACTTTTATTAGTATAGGAAAATGCAAATTAAAGCAATAATTCCCTCCCCTCTTTTTTTGCCCAATTAGATTGGAAAAATTTTGTTCAACCCAAATGTTGGCAAGGGTGTGTAACAATGTGCTGTCATTGGATGAACTATAATGGTTCTTTTGGCAGTGCCTATGGTAATGTTCAGAATGCATATCCTCTAAATGAGTAGTTTCATTTCCAGACTTTACTCTAGCTAAGATGTAGGTACAGGAGCTGAAACAAGCACCTGCAGGATATAGCTTTGTTATTATAGCAGAAATGCCCCACAACCTAAAGATTCATCATGGAAGGGCTTTTTGTTTATAAATCATCTAATAGATTTTGAAAACAGGGCCTATTAAGTTTAAGCAAGGTAATTTAGAAGAAAACAGAATGCCTCTGGGATTTGTAACAAGAGCTATCTTCTCCCAGTGTGTGCTTTTATCACCTTTTATGACCCATTTTATAATATGTTTAATCAAAACATTTCCCTCCCATTACAAATCAATTTTCTAAAGCAGTACAATCTTAAGCAGCATATATGAGTAAGTAGGAAGAGTAATTCTTTGAGGAAAAATACAGTCCTACCGTGTTGTGCCTGCCCATGACAGGGTACAAGAAAGAAAGGTCTCTGTCTCTTTGTCTACTGTTGAAATGGATTATCTTCAAGATTAATGTAGCATGTGGAGTAGTGCTTGCTGATTAAGTGTTTATCTTATATGTGTGAATAATTGGTACTAATAGATTGGATAAGCATCTTAATTGAAAGAATCTGTGTATGTAGTGGGAGGAGGGGAGAAGAGAGATTAGATTTTTAGATAGGTGTCAGCATTTCCAAAGCAGCCAAGGGAAATATTTTCTTTATGTCTGTGCTTATGTGAAAGATAAAGTAAAATATCTTCACAAGGGCTTTTCAGAACATTAACTTTGGCAGCTTTAATCTATGGGTTTATTAGTTGATGATTGAAAATAAAAGCTTTGGCTATTATTTTAGTTTTATATATCTTATGTACTAGTTGTGAAAGTAACTGTAGGTGAAAATTGCTTTTTAAAGTGAAAGAATTGGGGGATTTTTGATGGGATTAGTAGATGCTCTTCATATAAAAGATGATCTTTGTTAAAATACTTTTATCCTGAAGATAATTTACAATCCCATAAGTAGCCTCTATTAACTTAAAACCCGCTATAATTTAAAAATGTTTTCCAGAACAAGCTCTTTAATACAGTTTAGCTAAAATCCATTTTTTTTGTAATTGAGGCAAAACTCAAAGCAGGGACCATCGGCTAATAAAACCGCTCCTGTTGTGAGTGAAGCTGATAAATGATGAGAAACTGTGGCTGCTTCCCACTGAGAAAGACAAGCTACCTTGTTAAATAAAATAAAACTGTGAATTATTTTTGCAGAAGTCAACGAAAGGTTCTGTTGTCCTTGACCACGTATTCCGTCACATAAATCTTGTGGAGATAGATTATTTTGGACTGCGTTTCTGTGACAGAAGCCATCAGACAGTGAGTACAATGACTTCATATTAAACTTTTCTGGTTATAAATTTCACTCTATCTCTGGCATTTCCTGTTGTGGTTTTAGGTGGTTAGGCTCTTTAACTAAAAATGATTTTAAAAACCATGAACATGTTTTCTCTTGCTGATTTATTTGCCTTTTTTCCCTCTTTGGCCAAAAGTCTGTAAAGGTGCAGGATTCACAATCATGTGTGAATATCCTCTTTGCAGATGGCTTATGTGGCTTACCTGGTGGACATTTTTCCTACCATATAACAGAGTACTTTCCATTTGTGTTATTAGGACAGCTGACTAAGCCATTTGATGTGTTAGGGGGCAAGTGGCTATTCTCTTGAAGTGACAGGTGTTAATTGCCTTTTAAGAAAGTAATGGTTAAAGAGAAGAAATGCATATGTTGTAAAAAAAGGTACCTATCTAACTTACAGAAGTTGGATGAGCAATTATATAAAGTAAGAATAGAGGTTTTTATTCATGAGCTTTTTGGAAAAACAGTAATGAAAGCAACCAAGCTTTTGGTGTCTAAAATCCATTGTTCCCAAGGTTTTGACTCAGAACGTCTTCCTGACTGGTTGGATGGTTACTCAGAAACTCACCGCATTGATTAGTACAAATTCTATGTGATTGTAAGGCTGAAAAACTGTTTCTTTGATGAACAACAGTAAGACTTTGGAGGTAATGATTTTGAGACATAAAAAGACATTCATTAGTGACTTTGATTTGGTCTAACAAAGATCTTAACCTCAGATAGCCACAATGTTATATGTAAAATGCTTATACACTTAACTTAAAAATACCCTATTTGACTTCTATTTTTCATGTTGTTCAACTCCTGTTGAAATAAGTATTTCTCCCTCTTCCTTCATTAGTACTCCCAGCCTCCACTGGGCCATCTGGGGTCTGTTCAGTGAGAGACATAATTGAGTAGAATTTTTCTGCCTTGGCCCCAGGAATGTGCTAGAAGGAAGAGAGGCAGGCAAATGGAATGTTACTATTGATGGTTATAGTTTGTGATTTTTCTTGAATTAGTTCCATAATCTGTTCTGTTTCAAAGGCAGATTTTACAAAGTAGAAATAAAAAATTGGGTGTGTTGGTTAGCTTTCCATAGAAAGGAATAGCTTCTAAAGGCAAATGGTCATTAATGCACACTTCAAAGAAAGGCAAATGGACATCGTTAGAAGTTCTCTGAATTCTATCCTGTACAGTCCATAAGTCAATATAGCAGAACTATAAATCTATACTGAAAGATTAACTAGGAGGCTATAAAAGAGATCTTGTATTACGTTCATATTTCTGAAATAACATTTTTCCTAGCAGAGAAAAATACAGTTTCCTAATCTTATCTTGTAGTCAGACTTTACCTGGAAAGATGGACTGTTTGCTAAAATTACATAGACCTTATCTGCCTTTTTTTTTAACTTTGCAAAGAAAAGTAAAAATGTGAAAAGCTAGAGAATTTCAAACAATGGTCTGTATCATTGCAAAAGCATTAGCAGTAGGTGATAGTTTACGTAAAATGCTTATACACTTACCTATGATAGTTTATTCAAAGTTTTCTAGGGCTTATTTTAAGACCAAAAGTTTTTTTCTTTTACCTTTATTTTAAGGGTTGGCATTTATGGTAGTGTTTACAATATAGGTTTCAGGACAAATTACACACTTAGAAGGAGATAGCACTTTAGCCATGTTTTTTGATGTGGTTAGAACATCAGGTGTGTAAATCACATAAGAAAAAAAACTGTTTTTAGCCTCCTGAGTTTATTTTCTAGTGAACCCAAAATAGAGGTGATTTGTAAACATTGCTTAGTCTTTGCATGTTCAAATGTCTGTCTTATATTCCTTTTAATTGTAGGAAGCTGTGAGAATAGGGTTATGAAAATTTGCCTTCTAGGAAACCATTCCACCAAAGGCATACGTACCATTTCTCGAGAGCTGCTGGAGCGTATCTGGGTAGGCGCAGGGGATCTCTACCTGACGCCCTTCCCTTGGGTGTTGAGGCAGAGCTTAGGAGCTCTCAGGAAGTAACTCGTGCAGGCTTCTCACTCCACAAGGGCAACCACCGGAGCTGCAACTTTAAGTTTCTGGGGAAATGTCGATAAACTCAAATTCTCTGTCCTGTCTCTATATTATAGGGGCACCCCTGCATAGCCCATAGTTATTTAAGGTAAATATGGATTTAAAGAGCAACCCTATGTTAGAGTGGTACTGGGGCATGGTGAAAAATCTTTATCTTAAAGATAAGGATTTCTGTGAATGTGTCTGAGTCACCGTCCATTAGATTGGATTTTGTATATTGCTTTGCTCTTGTTCTGCACCAAAAAATTTATTTTCAGTGGGGAATGCCTGCATAACAATCTTTACTACAATTAAGAAATACATGCAGAAGACTTTGAGGCACTAAGAAGGACTGCTTAGGTCAATTCTTGAGGTGAAAAAGAGAAAGTGAGAGAAGGAGCTGGGAATAAAAGGGAAGAAAGAAAAAGAAAGAAGAGATGGCTCTCCTTGGTGAGAAGCCGTATGTTCGCTGTCCCGCTCTCTCCCATTGATAAGGGATTATGCCTTGGGACCAGGCCAGACTGGCTGGGGGTGGAGGGAATAGACTGGATTGTGTATAGTACTGCTAGTTCAGCCAGTTGTGGTCAAAGTAGAAGCATGCAAAATATAAGCAAGTAAGCTGGACTGGTGATGGCTGAAGGGTCAGTGGAGAATGGTCAGAGAGGGCTTTCTGCCCTCTTCAGAGACTTGTTCCAGGACCAGAGAGATAGGCAGCTGCCCTAGAGAATTAGAGAGCAATGTGCCTGAGGAAGGTGTCCCTGGGACAGATGGACCTCACATGACTGGGAACTTGTAGTCTGTCCAGAAGGACCGGGGTGACTGAAAGGCCTGGATCTAGATGAATCTTCACTACAGCCACCCATGGTCATCAGGGTCATCAATCAACAGGAACTGTAGAACATTTCCCATACATTGTCATTACATGCTCAGAACAACTGTCCAAGTTAAATATTATTATCCTACCATTAGAAATGAAAAAAAATGGAAGCTAAAAAGGCTAAGCAACCTCCCCAAGGTCACACAAGTCTCAGGACCAGAATTTAAGCCCAGGTTTTCATGTTTCCACAACCTTCAACCAGCGTCATATCCTGACTTGAATGCATTGAGATGAAAATGTTTTGTATACTTAGGATGCTACAGATTTCTCTTTCTATGCAATTTATATTCATAATGTTTTTGAGATGAGTTAAGTGGTATTTTCCAATAAGCAAACTTCTCAGATTGACCTGTGATAAGAATTTATTTGAGCCTTTGTGTATTTGTGTGTCCATGTGGTTGTTCGACAGTAATTTAATGAATACCTAATATGGCAGGCCGTGAGCTAGAGTGTTCTCTGTTTTTTGCACATAGTCTAAAGAATTCTGGGGAAAGGGGAATTACTGCTGGCAATATTAAATGAATAACACATTTTATCAAACTATACATTCTATGAAACCAAGTCAAGAGAAATTCATATAATAAACACATCGATTCAGGTGTATATGGAGTAACAGCTAGACAGAAATAGACCTTATTAAAGCAACCTTCTAAGGAGTGCACCTGACTTGAGTTGGAACTCTGGGCACCATAACTGAACTTTGCTTTTCAGGTAGTTTCTAAAAGAGCCTCTGGGAAGTTAAAAACAAGTCTTCATGAAGACATGTTCATTAAGACTAAATTAACACAATGCTGTGTGCATGCATTCAGGCTCATGTTTATGAAACAGTCTCTCAAAGATGCACAGTGGGGTTCACATACTTGGGGTTCCTTTTCCTAAAGACAAATGGGAAAGCACTTAACCTGGGCATACAGCCTCCTTTCTTTTCTGCTTTGGCCTGTGTCATCCAGGTCCTTTTTGGATCCAGACTGTTCTTTGCAGGGCATGTACCTCTTTTCTATCAGGGCCTGGGTTTGACTTACAGAAAATTCCCACCCTCCATTTAAGGTGGATGTGGGGCAGTGTGTCCTAGGGATCACAAAAACACACATGAGAGTCAGAAAGACCCAGATTTGTCAAATGATCCCACCAGTTACTAGCTGTAAATATTTAAAATTCTTTTAAAGTACTGACCATTAATCTAGAACAGCAGAACTTCCAGAGGAGTTGGCTCCCTCCAGCGTGTTCTAAGACTGCCTGTTTTGTTGCTAGCCCAGCAGGACCTTCTCGGTCTCTCATATGGTATGGGGCTCAGTAGCTCAGCTTGGTGTGTCTTTGCTTTGAATGGGTCCTGCTCTCTCTGTGCTCAGCATCCTAATCCTCAGCACCAGTGAATGTCACCTTATATGGCAAAAGGGACTCTGTAGATGTGGTTAGTTAAGGATCTTGTGATGGGGCGATTATCCTCAACTATCCAGGTAAGACCAGTGTAAGTAAAGGTGTTTATACGTGAAAGAGGGAGGCAGGAGAATTAGAGAGAAGGAAATGTGACAGTGGAGGCAGAGGTCAAAATCATGTGGTTACTGGAAGTGGGCTTTGATTAAGGGAGTGCAGGCAGCCTCTAGAGGCTGGGAGAGGAGCCTTCAGAGGGAGCGCTGCTTACACTTTGATTTTAAACCCAGTACCTTCCTTGGTCAGTTCCGGCTGCTCTAACAAATTGCCATGTCAAATCACTAGGTGGCACAAATAACAAATACTTACTTCTCAGCATTCTGGAGGCTGGAAACCTGAGATCAGGGTGCCAGTGTGGTGGGCGAGAGCCCTCCTTCCAGGCTGCAGGTAATCGACTTCTTGTGACTTCACATGGGAAAGGATGGCTAGTTAGCTCTCTGGTGTCTTCCTATAAGGACACTAATTCCATTCGTGAGGGCTCTTCCTTTATGACCTAACACCTCCGAAAGGCCCCACTTCCTAAATTCCATCACGTTAGGATTAGGGCTTCAACATATAAATTTTAGAGGGGCACAAACATTCAGTTCATGGCACCCAGTGAGACCATTTTTGGACTTCTGACCCTCA